CGGCCCCGCTATTGACAGATAACTCAATTGGTCAGTAGAAAGTATGCTGCGTGGGCCGCATACACGCACGAGCTGCCCCCTCCGCGCATGCCTTGCTGGATCGCGTCTTCCGGTGCGTGTTGTCGGTATATGCGGTTTTATGATCACGGCATACGGCATTGCAGCAGTTAGAGGTGAGAATGAGGAGAGGGAATGGGGGAGGGGATGACTTGAGGCGGCGGGACGACAGTAAGAGTGGGGAGGTGAGGGTTGAAGACAAAGAGACGCGCGGCGGGACACGTCGGATGGTCGGGCCGGAGTCTCGGTCCGACCGCCGAGCATTGTCGTCGTCGTGCTCGACAGCCTCGGACAAAGGCCGAGGAAGGATTAAGGACACAGTTATTCCAGCGTATATTACCAGATTTCTGCCAGATCTGATTCTGAGAGTTTGGACGAGTTCCGATCTCGGGAAAGTGGTGAGGTTGACTTTGGGGTCTGACATGCGCAAGGGATCATTCACTCCCCTTTGGAGCGAGACCAGTAGGTAGTTTCTCCTCCTACCTGCTCGCTGTGTGCCTCGATCGCATTCATTCTTTTTGTGAGACTTGGGGGAACCCTTCCAGTATATTGTTCCACAGTTAAAACTCTGCAATACATACAGGATGACTTACAATGATCCATATAATAGCCTCAGGCTGTCAACTTCCAAGTGTTTGTAGTATTTGGGTAAGATCCTGGGGTCCCCTTCTCTCCAAACCTACAATATACGTAGTATACTATTCTAGGACTACTTATGTGTACTTATCTCTGACTTACCCCGAGCCCGGCATCTTTCCGAGGCCATCCAAGACAGCGACGAGCGCTGTCGGAAGCCCGGGCCGACCATGGCGCGGTCCCAAAGCACACGACAACGGTCCCGAAGTCACACGACAGCAGTCCCAAAGTCACACGACAAGAGTCCGGCTGAAGTGACTCCCCCGATCGCGGTCCCCTGCCGCCTTGTCCACTGCACCCGTGCCCGCCTCCATAGCCCTCACCGACGGTACAGCAGCTGATGAGAAATCACAGCGGCAATCGCGCCACACAATACGGCAATCGCGCAGCCAAAACGCCTTCGGGCGACGCGTACGGGGAGGGGGAGAGCGGTGCGTAATCACGCGCCGCCTTTTCTGCTTATTACTAACAATTGTCCTCTGTTGCGAGGGAGCCCTACAGCGAGGCAGGGGTCGGGTGGGTGATTGTAGCCCGCCCACCCTATACCTCCATCGCCCTCGGAATATATCTGAGGGCGCGAGTATCTCACCTACGACGCATGCACTTTAGGTGGGTCCTCGGTGGGTCTATGTACTGCCGTGCCGCCATCTGCATGGCATGCGCGTCGCGTTCATCCCCTCCCCCCTCCCCCTCCCCCGCACTGCTACGCGGTCGCGGCGGACGCGTCTTTCGACGCGAATGCGCGCGCGTAGCTTGGGGCGAGGCTCCTTTCCCTTACCCGCTCCCTCACGCGCGCGGCAGGAGCGCGATCGGCGCGAGTGAAAATTTTGCTCGCGCCTTTTTTCACTTTTTCCGCAGTCCCCTCGCTCCCTTCCCTTTCTTTATACCTGAATATGTTATCTATACCTATATACTACTATATTCTTCCATGTTCTCGTGCTCGAGGCGCCTGCCGCGCCGCCGTGCGACGCGCCGACGACGCGTCGAGCGGGTGCACGTGACCTGAGCGCGTCGCATCAGCGCGTCACACGAGCCGCCCGAGCGCGCGCAGGCCGCGCGCGGCGCGTCGCGGCCGTGCTGCCCTATAAGGGCATCGCCCGGGGCTGGCAGCTCAGCTCGCAAGGCGGTTCACGGGAATTGCCGGCCTCGAAGGCCCTACGCTAGGATTCAAATAAGGTGTATGTAAACTATCGATTAGATTTAAATCTGGGGTACAGCATCAGCTGGAAGGACCGGGGTGATGGCGGTCGAAGAGTTGACGAAGACGAGAGGATGGCAGCTAACTCACCTACCACGAGGCATTGCGACGCTTTCCGAGGCGCGATCGACGAGTGTCGCACACTAACTGAGCGTTGTACCTTCGCAGAGGTTCTCCAGTCCGGCGATGTCGGGAAACGAGCAGCGGACGCCGTTACAAGACGGCACCGTATTGTCCGCCTACACCTGCGATGACCTACTGTCTTGGCTGTTGGCATTGGTCAGTATGGTTGTGATCAAGGAAAAACGAGCATGACACACCTTTGGCCGTCCTCCTCGCATCTGCGACACCGCTGATTCATGTTGCTATCGGCAGGTCCATAGGACGCGTCGATCGTGGCAGATACCTTGTTGATGCACGATGCTCGATAATAGGAGGGCGTGAGTTCTAGGGGAGATATGAGTAGTCGATGGTGGAAAGAAGGAGAGAGCTGGAGGTGGAGGCGATGACAGAGGCGCGCGACTCGTCCTCCGATGACAGGCGAAGGCGCGGATGATCGGCCCGCGGTCGCCGACTGGCCAGCGATGACCAAGCAATGACCCAAGACTCAGTCGGATTCAAAGTGACTTCAACATGCAAAGCAGCACAGAAACAACGAGGAGTGTCACAAGAGCACGCTGGAATATTTTGAAGATTATATGCGAAGCATATCCGCAACCACAAAGCAAAAGGTGACCTGTCGAGTATTGTGGCTGTGCAACGAACGATGAGGCTGTGCAAATGGACATTCCCGATACCACATGTGCGGTACGACTCTGGAAAATCCGGGCATCGACATGTCCTGAAGAGCTAAAACTTCGTAAAATGTATTGCTTCACCTCAAAGAAGGCATTGCAAATTTGAGCAGCAGAAAAGACCGTCTTTGACCACGATATCCAGGCGACCAAGTGACATTCGGAGATAAATTTGATGCGCCGCTTGGACGTCTGATGGTGATGAATCCTGGTCAGGTAAGATGAGAGCTCTCGCAAGCTCGAGCAGGTCTCGTAACAATGAATGGACCATCCCAGCGAGGGTGGATCTTCAAAGGCCCTTCCTACTTGCGCTTCACAAGATCTCCTATGCCAAGGGCTCGCTCACCATAGTCCTCATCACAACGCGTCACCTCTGCCAACATCCGTGCCTCCACGCGCTTGTTTGCGTCCTTCCAAACGTGGTCAAGATTCTTAACGTGTTTGAGGTGACAATATTGAAGGTATGCAATCTCATTGTTGGTGGGTGGTGTGCTGAGCATTGTATAGACGTAGTCATGAGGTAAGCAAGGGTGACAGCCGTCCATCAAGTAGAAGAGGGAGACACCAAGCAAAGGATTGACATGAGCATGATGTCCCAAGAGGAGATCAGGTATGTACTCATCCCAGTCTTCCTGTGACAAAGGTGTGCTGACGTGAGCAATCATCTGCGTCAAGGTGTCATTGAACTTTTTGAGACGGCCGTTGGTCTGCGGATGATACGGTGACATGTGAATATGACGGATATTGAGACGACAAAGAAGGTTCTGTACCTGGTAAGACAGGAACTCTTCTCTGTTGTTGGTGAGCACCGCTGACAGCTTGCCGTGCAAAGATATGATGTAACGTAGCGTTGCAATGCTATCGGCAGATCGACACGGCAGAGCGTTTGCAAGGGTAAAGTCAGTGCCTAAGTCCACCGAAGTCAGTAAGTACTGATTTCCTGACTTGCACTTGGGAAGAGGACCGACGAAGTCGGATGACCAGACATTGCCTGCGTCAACTCGCGGGAGCGGATGGAGCGGCTGACTCACCGCTAGCTTGTGACGAGTGGATTGACAATGATTGCAGGTCTTGACATTGTGTTCGACGAATTCCGTCATGTACAGAACCCAGGTGCAAAGGCGGAAGGCAGCGGAGACAGCGGGAATGCCAATATGTCCGAGGTCATTGTAGAGGTTGCGGATGAGGTTGTTGGCCATGCGGACAGAGGTCTGGACATGTACCAAGCAAACGTTGGTGCCATCCTCGACAATGCGGTGGAGTTGGTTGTTGACAAGACGGAAGGAGCCGTCACCAACATCCTTCATCTTCTCACCGTGGAGAAGGCACTGCTCATATTCGGCAAGGGTTTTGAAGGCGGTGCTCCAGTCCAGGTGCTCGGCAGAAATGTCCATTGGGTTGGTGAAGAGCGGTGCGAGGGTCTTCGAATCCGGTACGTCTTCATTCTTGTTGATGCACGAGAGTGCGTCCACAATGAGTTGATGCTTACTGGGCCGATAGATGATACAAACGCCAAAGTGGGCTATATCATTGGCAAAGCACGAGAGATGGCGACCTAGGTCTTGTTGCATATGGAAATACTTGAGAGACTCATGATCGGTATGTACCACAATCGACGAGCCTTCAATGTAGTGCCGCCACTTATGCAGAGCATGGATGACCACCAACATCCCGCGCTCTTTCAGAAGTGGAAGGGGCACAGAGACTGGCAACAGAGGCACAGTCGACACAGACACGGACACGGACCGGAAGGCGACAACGCAACGGACTGAATAGAAAGGTAGGTAGAGGGACGCGTAAGCTACCGACATTGTATATACTTGTTGTCCATGGGCTTTAAGCACAGCCCGGTATAGATGAGTCAGAGGCGTCCACAAATACCCACTCGTGACAGGCTCATGAGCAGAGTAGCACTATTCGGTAGGAGTCATATGATGAGATTCAAATGCAATAGGTCGTGAGTCCTTCTCCTTGAAGTCGAAACAAGTGGTAGACTTACCATCGTCCTTCCTCCCATCTAGATCACAGAAGTCTTGGGGTTGGTGTGCTTGGACCGTCCCAAAGGGGATACTTACCTATAGTCACATATCACACTGTCACTTAACCTTGTCTTTGACTGTCATCTTGTGGTCTGCTGTCTGTGTCTGTGCCCTCCCATCTCAACAGGTTATGAGCCCCGTGCTCTAGTCTTTACCCAACCCCCCCCCCCCAAACTTCTCAGAACTTGCTTTTTTCCTCCAGAAAAACCCATTCTCTCGTTCTCTAAAATATTTCACTTGATTAATCGGTCTCATCTGCACCATCTACCACTCATCATGTCTTCCCTCCCCTCCTATGCTGTTGCTATCTTTCAGCAGTCGGAGAAGCTGCGAGGCAAGGCCAACTGGCACTCATTTGCGGAGGCTTTCATCAACTTCTGCACTGGTGTTGGTGCCGAGCACATTGTGGCTGACTCTGCGCTCAATCCATCCAAGACAGCACTGGACAATGCCATTGGATATGTCCTCTCTGGGATGCTGGAGAAGGATGTGAAGGATGGGGTGCCAGGGAAACATGGTGGCCAGGAGCTGTACAAGGCACTGAAGGCCAGCTGTGTACATAGGGTCTTTGGTAAGACGTGCGACAATTGTCCGCCACATATTTGCAAAGTTCATCGTACCAGTTATCCACACAGCCATGGGCCCCCGGGACCTCACTGGGGGCTGCCCGGCCTCTGCCCAATGCGGCAGGCGACCCGCCGGCTCACCGTGCGCGCTGATCCCGCCCGCATCGCCCCGTCGGGATTGATGGGGCCCGCCTCGCGCACCACGGTGGCTGTGCTATGCGCGCGGTGGCATCTTGTCCTGCGGCACGCTGCTCCCTTTGCTTCTGTCAGTCATACGTGCGATAAAATAGTATACAAAGCTAATTGTATATCTATATACCCAATACACTACTGTATACGAGCTAAAAGAGAACAAAAAGCGCTGTCGATTTTGTTTTGACAGCGCGTTGGGCAATACACAGGCGTGGAGGGCAAGTAAAAGGGCAAGATGTCCAAGGCAGAATCGAGCCAGTGATCACACTAGAGCGACAGCAAACAAGTCAGGAGTATATTCAGTGGTACAGAACGCATAACTACGCACCTAGAGCGACAGCAAACGAGTCAGGAAGAGAAAAGACTTGGATGTGCCGCTCTAGGCAGGAGGGACCGGCAAATGCCGAGGAAATATGTGGCACTCGGCAATAAGGTGCGAGCGCAGAGATATAACTGTAAGTAAGCGTACAGTACCGGGAAAAAGTCCGAAAAATCACAGAAAAATACCATAGGCGCTAGAGAGCGCGTAGACACCGATTCCAACACAAGAGGGTGAGAGAGAGAGGGCATGAGAGGGCGCATATGTGCGCCCACCACGCAAACTGCCATGCAAGTCCGGAGGTGAGGGGGAGGGGAGTGATGTTGCGTGCTTGGTGACAGGATGAGCATGGCCCCTCATTCCTTGCTCCAAGGCTAGACACGTGGAGATGGGGGACAGAGGGGAAGAGATGTGTTGTCGCCGCTGATGGCAACGACTTGGGGGCGAGAAGTGGAGATGGCGGGGGGTTGGGATGGTGGTGGTGGGAGTGATGTGAGGGGCGACCGATCATGACCTCGCAGCCGTGTTATTGGATGTGTGCACACATTGTCACTATGAGGTAGGAGAAGAATAAGGACATTAGTATGTGAGCAACAGCTGACAGTGAGCGAGGTCAGTCCCTATGAATATAACTACACTGCCCAGCCCGGCAGGGCTCTGTGTTACAACATTTCCAGAGATTACTTGGGCAGCCACTGCTGCAATTTATAGCTACGTCGTACAACTACATCTGCCAGGGCTCCTCGCAGGAGCCCTGGCCGGCTCGGCCATTGCCGTGCTCATCTTCGTTTCGGCCATTGCCGTTGCGCGCTCACCGCGACCACCCGCTGCTCGCTCGTCATTGCCTGACGCGCGCTTCCCAACGCCGTGGCACGTGACCCCGCCGCTCGGGCTCCCGACGCCCCGCGCGCGCATCCCGCCACCACGCTCCCGCCCGCCATTCGCACGCTCCTTCCCGTGTTGTCCAACATGCCTTGTGTCGTGCCCTCGCGCAGGTTCGCGTCCCGGCAAATGCCGACCGCGCGTTGCAGCCACCTGCAGGAGCGCCGTCGCGTGCTGGCCGTTGACCCGCACATCCTGGGCAAATCACCTTATGCTGTACCCCAGATTTAAATTTAATTGATAGTTTACATACACCTTATTTGAATCCTAGCGTAGGGCCTTCGAGGCCGGCAATTCCCGTGAACCGCCTTGCGAGCTGAGCTGCCAGCCCCGGGCGATGCCCTTATAGGGCAGCACGGCCGCGACGCGCCGCGCGCGGCCTGCGCGCGCTCGGGCGGCTCGTGTGACGCGCTGATGCGACGCGCTCAGGTCACGTGCACCCGCTCGACGCGTCGTCGGCGCGTCGCACGGCGGCGCGGCAGGCGCCTCGAGCACGAGAACATGGAAGAATATAGTAGTATATAGGTATAGATAACATATTCAGGTATAAAGAAAGGGAAGGGAGCGAGGGGACTGCGGAAAAAGTGAAAAAAGGCGCGAGCAAAATTTTCACTCGCGCCGATCGCGCTCCTGCCGCGCGCGTGAGGGAAAGGGAGCGGGTAAGGGAAAGGAGCCTCGCCCCGAGCTACGCGCGCGCATTCGCGTCGAAAGACGCGTCCGCCGCGACCGCGTAGCAGCGCGGGGAAGGGGAGTGTCCGAGGCAGAATCGAGCCAGTGATCACACTAGAGCGACAGCAAACGAGTCAGAATCATATTCAGCAGTACAGAACGCATAACTACGCACCTAGAGCGACAGCAAACGAGTCAGGAAGAGAAAAGACTCGGATGCGCCGCTCTAGGCAGGAGGGACCGGCAAATGCCGAGGAAATATGTGGCGCTCGGCAATAAGGCGCGAGCGCACAAGTAATACTGTAGGTAAGCGTACAGTACCGGGAAAAAGTCCGTAAAATCGCAGAAAAATGCCATAGGCGCTAGAGAGCGCGTAGACACCGATTCCAACACACCCCCTTGATCGAGCACGTCCTAGCGCCCAAATCCAAGGCCAGAGAGCGTTGCCATGTGCTGCAGCTTGACCCGGCCCAAGGCCTTGGTCAGCATGTCAGCCGGCATGTCCGCTGTCTGCAGATGGACAAGGCGGATGCTGCCGCGATGCACCTCATCGCGCAGCCAGTAGAAGCGCAGGTCCAGGTGCTTCATGCGCCCATGATGCTCCGGGTTCTTGGCCACCTGCAGCGCCGAGTTGTTGTCGATGTAGAGGGTGGAGGGCGCGCTCTTGACCGAGTAGCCACACTCGGTCAGGAAGTTGCGCATCCACAGGATCTCCTGGCCGGCAGAGCACGCCGCGACGTACTCTGCCTCGGTGGTCGAAAGCGCGACTATAGTCTGCAGCTTGGACGACCAGGAGACCGCTCCACCTGCCATCATGACAATCTGGCCGCTGGTAGACCGACCGTTGTCCGGGTTGCCACCATGGTCCGCGTCGGTGTAGGTGTAGAAGAGCTCGGAGCGCGCATTCACCGCCTTGCCGTCGTAGGTCAGCTTGTAGTCAAGCGTGCCCTTGAGATAGCGGAAGAGGTGCTTGAGCGCGTTCCAGTGCGGGCGGCCAGGGTTGCCAGTGAAGCGAGCGAGGACGGAGACCGGGTAGGCGAGGTCAGGACGAGTGGCGAGGGCGAGCCAGGCAATGGCGCCGACTGCAGAGGCGTACTCCTTAGCGCGGGTGGACATGAACTCGATGTCTTCCGGCGTGACAGGAGCGTCGGCGGCGCTGAGCTTGTGCGAGGGGTTGAGCGGAGTGGTGACCGGGCTGCACTCGGCCATGCCAAACCGCTCGAGGACGTCCGTGGCATACTGGCGCTGCGAAAGAGACAGCGTGCGCTGGCTGCGCTCGCGCTCAATGGCAACGCCCAGTAGCCAAGTGGTAGGACCCAACTCGCGCAGCTTGAAGTGCTTCTTCAGCTCGCCGATGATACCGAGCGCCTGTGCGTCAGTCTTGCACCCAATCGTCATGTCGTCCACAAAGACGGGCACGAGGATGCGCGCGTCACCGCGTCCATACACCCACACGCTGTGGTCGCAGAGGATGCGCGTGAAGCCCATCTCTACAAGCACCTTGTTCAGCGTCTCGTGCCAGACATGACTCGCCTGCTTCAGCCCATAGAGCGACTTCTTCAAGCGCCAGACATAGTCCTTGTCAGGATCAATGCCGAGCTTGAAGCCGGGCGGTTGGCGCATGTAGATCTCCTCGGCCAGCTTGCCATTCAAGAACGCGTTGCTGATGTCGATGGAGTAGAGCACGAGGTCGTCCATAGCGGCGAGGGCGAGGATAGCGCGGATGGCGGCCCACTTTGGCGTAGGAGCGAACGTCTCGGTGTACTCGAAGCCGGGACGCTGCGAGAAACCCTGCGCGACGCAGCGTGCCTTGTACCGCTCGATAGACCCATCAGCATTGCGCTTGACCTTGAACACCCACCGGCTGCCAATAGCGCGCTTGCCTGGCGGCAGTTCGACCACCTCGAACGTGCCGTTGTCGACCAGCGCCTGCACTTCGTCGAATGCGGCCTCGATCCACTTGGCCTTGTCCGGGCGAAGCAGCGCTTCAGCAAACGTCTTGGGCTCGCCTTGCTGCGGGTCGGGCGCGACTGTAGTGGAGAGGGCGAAGTCGAGGGCCTGTTCTACTGACCAGTCCTCTTGGGTGATGCCGCTGAAGACGTAGTCGAGGCCGGCCTGAAGAACGTGCGCTCCTGGGATAGGCGTCTCATCAGTGATCCGCAGCTCGTCCTCACTCCCTGACCACTCCATCATTCTGCGCCTCGCCTCTGCTCTGTCTTGCGCATCATCCTCCTGCACCTGCTCTCTGCGCTCCTCCAGCACCCCCTGCTCGCTCTGCTCCTCCTGCTCCTCCTCCTCCTCATCCACCTCCTCAATCTGGCCGGATAACGGCGCAAACCGGTTAGGGGACGTCACCTGCGGCTGGGGCGCGGGTGTGGACGATGTAGCGCGGCCTGTAGAAGGCGGCGCAGGCTGCTTTTGCCAAGCGCGAGTCGTCAATTCGCGCTCGGATAAGCTATGGGTCGGCTTGGTTGCCCGAGGCAGACGCGACGGTGGCGGTCCGCTCGAGGTAGACGGCCGAACTGTCTCCCAAGGAGGGGACGGACTGCGCTCTGCGCGCGGCGCTGACTGCTGCTCCTGCGCGCGCTCCTGCCTGCCTCTCAGCGCGGCCTTGCTAGGCGGCGCAGTGCGAGACGGGCGGGGCGCAGAGGGCGGCGGCGGACGTGCGCTAGGCGGCGTGGTAGGCTCAGCTGGCTGCTGAAGCGGCGTGGAGGGTGCCGGCGGCGATGTGGGCGGCGGCGTGCGCAACTGAGGCGCGGCAGGCGCTGGCGGTCCGGATGGGGGAGGTGGCTGATCATCATAGAGCGCGACACCATCGTCATCTGCGCTATGACGATGGGTAGAGGGCGACGGCACATCACCCCCTTGATCAGCAACATCCCCAAAGTCCGGAGGGCCTTCACCTCGGTCTATAATCTCCGCAGTGATGAGATTGAGGCTCTTGAGCGACGTACCCGGCATGTAGCGCTCATCAAACACCGCATGCGAAGAGATAACCGTCTTCTTGGTGGCCGGGTTGTAGAACAACCACGCCTTGGTGCCCGGAGGGTACCCCAAGAAGATGCACTTCTGAGAGTGCGGCTCGAGCGCGCGCCGGTGCTTGTCCTTCACCAGGACGTA